CCTCGCCCAATCGATTAGCAACTGGGGCTCCTACTTACTGCTGGGCAAACTGAGGCGTGTGCGCGCGTGTGCGCACGCGTGTGCGCGTGTGGAGCACGGAAACGTGCCCAAGGTTTCGCCTGGGGAACCAAACCCGGGTCACGTTCGCCTCCGAGACGAGAGCCCCGACAGCCGCTGAGCTGCAGACCTCCTCGGTTCGGGGGGTTGGGGGGGGGATCGAATCGAGGGGTGAGAACCACTGGAAAGCTTTGACCCGAGTAATTCATCTCTTTTTTTTTTTTTAGCTCCGACGGAATTCGAATGTCTCCCGATGGAGATTCCCGAGTGTACAGCGCCGTCAGCGGAGACCGGAACATCTCCGGTAACCTTTCCCTTTCTGCCCTCCTTGGAACTCCATCCCATATCCCCCACGCCTCGCCCCCACACCCCCCCCTCCCCACCCCCTCTCCGCCTCCGTCGCCTCCTTCAAAGCCCCTCTCAAGACCCTCTTCCTCAACCTCCTCGACCCTCCTCCCTCTCAGCTCCTGTTAACCCCACAGCCAAAGCCCTAACTTACTAACGACGTCCCCCAACGTACTTTCTGGACTCCCCCCCCGCCCCCCAACCGCCTCCCACCCCACCCCACCGAGCCTTGGCTCTCGCCAACCTGTGCCTAATACCCTCCGGAATTAGGTAAGCAGACGTCCCCCAGAGATAATAATAATATTAATAATAATAATAATACAATCCTTGCGTTTGATCATAGAGGAAAAAATTATTTGGTCACTCAATCCAATGGTGGGGGACGTCGCGGGGCGCAATTGGCTGCCGCGTTTCACCCACGCAATACACAGTCACCACACTTTACGGTACATCCTGGGAAGCGCTTTTGAGACGTCTCGAAGAAGAAGACGAGGGAAATGAGGGTTATTATTGTAAGATGGCGGTCTTATTTGGTAGCCCTCTGCCCCGAAACTTTGGAGCCCTCTCCCTCAATCCCTCCTCCTCGCAACCCCCCCCCCTCCTCCTCCCCCCCCTCCCGCTTTCAGAGCACAACCGAAGACCTTCCTCTTCAACCATGTCTCCCCCTCCCTCCCTCCCTCCCTCATCGTGGAGATAACACATTGATGATGTTGTTGTTGTTGTTGTTACAGGGTTCGGTCACGAGTGCCACATCCGACAGCGCCTACTGCTCTGTCATCGCCTCCTTCGAGGAGAAAGATCCGTGTCGAAAGCTGCGGGCGGGACAGAGTTTCGATTTCGACCAGAATTTGAAGGCAAGTCAGACACTCAATGACTCCGTGACCCCATCATTCCCCCCCACCCCCCCATTCTTCCCCTCTCCCCCCCCCCCCACCCCCTCGCCCGGATCCATTGGCTCCCCATTCCCCCAGAGGGAAACCGGTCGAATTCCTCGCCCTCACCTTCAAAGACCTCCGTGGACTTGCTCCCTCACCCCCGTCTGAAACATTACTGACACCCACACCCACCCCCCACAGCCTCTGGCCTCCTCCACGTCCACACACCCCCCGCCCCCCCCCTTTTCGAACCCATCCCACATTCCCACATCGCCTCGCCCCACTCCCTCGCCTCTCTTCAAGCCCTTGGCTCTGCCCGAATGAGTTGCCAGCCTTGCCCGCAGAGGGCCAGGGTAGTCGATTGGCGGGGGGGGGTGGTGGGGAAGGTAATAGTCCCTCTTCCCCCCCCCTCCCCCTTCCTTTCGCCCGCAAAATACAGTCACTCCCTCGCCGGCGTGTCCCACCGAGCGCCTGTTTTGTGAGGTCTCGAAGACGAGACGAGGCGCCGTCTCGAACGGCCGGAATTATTCCCGTCGTGTTATTATGATTCCGGCCGTCCGATGTCCGCAGAACGTCACGGCGTTCGCGAATCAGCTGCTCGCCGACCGCTCGCTGCTGGACAGCGTGGGGAGGCGGGAGAGGATGAATCTGTTCGTGATGTCCCTTCGAACGGTGGAGAATTCGGTCTCCGCCGCCGCCTCGAACCTGTCCCACCTCGAGAAGAAGACCGTGAGCTTCGACAATATAGGTAACCCGCACGTGGGATGGGGGGGGGCGCGGGGCGCGGGGGTAGGGGGAGGGTGGTGGTGGGGTGGGGTGGGGTTTGGGGTTTGGGGGGGTGGGGGATTGGAGAGCGCAAAGCACCAGGACCGTCCCTCGAGGAATAAGTCACCAAACTCCTTCAAGTCTCTCCTCTTCCACCAACTGCGCCATCGCTCCTCCTCGGCCCTCACCCCTGCCCCCCCCCCACTCCCCACCCCACCCCAACCCCCCCCGCCACCCCCCGCAAAAACACGAGACGTCTTGAGACGCCGAGGAATGTCTTCGCTCGATTTGCTGCGGTTACAGAGGTTGAAATGCAAACCGTGCGGCGGAATAACCTGACGGAGGGAACTCGGACGACGCTGTCCGCGAACGGGAACCAATTGGATCTCGACTGGAGAGCGGTCGCGGCGGACAACGACACGGGTAAAAAAATAAAAACCACGCGGCCCCGCGGCCGTGTAGCTCGGTTCCGCCTGTTCAGGGGGATGTGAGACCTCTCTGTTGAAAAAAAAGTTTCTCTGTGTCTCTCGCTCTCTCTCTCTCGCTCGCTCTCGCACACAGACACACGCACACACACACACAGACACAGCACACACACACTGCTACACATACAGACACATACACACACACAGACACACACACACACACACACACAGACACAGACACACACACAGACAGACACGCACACACACACTGCCACACATACAGACACACACACACACACAGACACACACACACAGACACGCGCACACACACACACTGCCACACATACAGACACACACACACACACAGAGCCAAACACACACAGTCACACAGACACAGCCACACACACAGCCACACAGACACACACACACACACACTGCCACACATACAGACACACGCACACACACACACACACACACACAGACAGACACACACACACACCAGACAGACACACACACACACAGAGCCAAACACACACAGTCACACAGACACACACACACACAGCCACACAGACACATACACACACACACAGTCACACACACACAGCCACACAGACACACACACCAGACACACACACACAAAGACACATACACCCACACACACAGCCACACACACACCCACACACACACCCACAAAGGCACACACACACACACCCACACACACAGCTCCACACGCACAGACACACAGCCACACACACACACCAGACACACAGACACACACACACACGCACGCGCACACGCACACGCACACGCACACGGCCCCTCCGTTTTCCAGCAGTGAGCTTTTTCCGGGGCTAATAACGTCTTTCTGAAATAATTTGGCGCCCGCAATCCCCCACGGCCGGTCGTGGGGACGTCGCTGGGCGCAATCGGGTGGCCCCGCTTCGCCCACGAGGCACGCGGTCGGCGGTGTATCTGCAGTATATTCCGCGCGGCGCTTCGAGACACCGCCCCTGGGTGGGAGCCGTTATATAAATGGCAGTTGTCGTTGTTGTCTGGACCATGCGATCAGGAGCTGTGTCGAATGTAGGGATTATTGTTATTATATTAGCACGAGGACTGATCGAGGTTCTCTCTCTCTCTCTCTCTCTCTCTATCTCTCTATCTCTCTCTCTCCCCCACCCCTGTCCTGCGCAGGTATGGTAGGGGTGGCGTTCATCGCCTATTCTCTACTCAACGGCTCCTTCTGGGCGGGCGAGGGCGCGGGAGAAGGTGCCCTCGGCAGCGACGAGGGTCTGAAGCTGATCTCGGACGTGGTGACCACCACGTGGACCAAAGGCAACCCGGGACCCCTCGTCGAACCCATCAACATCACGTTCCGAACCGGAAAGGTCAGCGTCTAACCCCGGGCCTGGGCGACACAGAACCATAGAGACCCTCTGAGACGTCTCGAAGACGCCTCGAGGCGCGATATCGACCGCGAGGATTGTTATTACTATTATCATAGGAGCAGGAGGAGGCCATTCAGCCCCCCCCCCACCCACCCTCCCCTCCCCTCCCCTCGAGCCTGTTCCTGGGATCAGGAAGCAGGGAGGGTGGGAGTAGGAGGTTGACTGAGGAGGGTCTTGAGATGGGCTTTGAAGGAGGCGCGAGAGAGAGAGAGGGAGAGAGAGAGAGTCAAGAGGGGACATGGGTTGGAGTTCCTGAGAACGGAAGGGGCAGAAAGGTTCGGAGGGGATCCTGATAGGGGGAGTCTGTGATTAAATGTCAGATACTTCTCAGGTCGCCACCAGAAAAGCCAAAGGGGAAGTTAGGAGGGAATCTTTCACCCAGAGAGGAGTTGGGTGTCACACCCTGTGGCGTAGGGTCTTGTGGCTTTCAAGAGGGAGATAGTCAATGTGAGAGAGGGTGGGTGGGTGCGGGGGGGTGGGGGGGTGGAGGGTGGAATTGAAATGACTTCGCTGCTCCGAGAGCCAGCGCGGGACTCGCTGGGCCGAATGGCCTCCTCCTTCTGCGCCGTCTTGACTCGAAGCGACGGCGACGGGAAGAGATCGGACGTTTAAAACGGAATCGTCATCGTTGTCGTCGTTGTTGTTGTTGTTGTTGTCGCCGTCGCTGTTTCAGGCGGACGAAGGCGGAGCCCGAACGGTCTGCGTCGGCCTGAACCGCACCGTCAACGACTGGTCCGCAGAGGGTTGTTCGCTGGTCCAGAAGAACTCCACCCACACGACCTGTAGCTGCAACTACCTCAGTAGCTTTGCGGTGCTCATGGCTCTACATGAAATCCGGGTACGTCCCCCGAAAACCTTCCCCCCTTCGCCTTGTGCCTACGGTCACCTCTTCCCACCCTACTCCCCCCCCCCCCACCCCGCCCCTCTCGGCTCAGCGTCCTGCCCCCACTTCCCCCCCCCCTCTGCCGCCCTGCCCTGCCCCGCTGTGTAAGTGCTCGGCGTCGTTGTCGTCGTTGTTGCTGCTGGAAACTCTTTAGCCACGGGCGCGGGTTTCCGAGCGTGTCAGACCGCGGAACGGGGCAAATCCTGTGAAGCGCTTTGAGACGCCTCGAAGACGTGATGAGGCGCTGTATCAAACACGTGGATTATTATCATTAGGATTATTATGATGATAATTTATTAGGATTAGGATTATGAAGGCTATTATTAGGATTATGATTAGGATTAGGATTATTATTAGGATCAGGATTATTATGATTAGGATTATGATTAGGATTATTAAGATTATGACTACGATGATTATGATTATTATTAGGATTCTTATTCGGGTTATTATTAGAATTATTAGTAGGATTCTTTTTAGGATTATTAGAATTATTATTAGGATTCTTATTAGAATTAATTATTTAGGATTCTCATTAGGATTCTTAGTCGTATTATCATCAGATTATTATTAGGATTCGTAATCAAATCATTATTAGGATTCTTCTTCGGATTATGGTTAGGATTACTGTTAGCATTATTATTAGGATTATTATTAGGATTATTATTAGGATTATCGTTAGGGTTATTATCGCCCACTGAGCTTTCTTCCTCTTGTTCTGAAGGACCCCTGGCACCTGTTCAACCTCACTCTGATGTCCTACATTGGACTGAGCATCTCCATGGTTTGTCTGTTGGTCTCCATCGTCACCTTCACCTTCTGTCGGGCCATTAAAGGCACAAGAAACACCATCCACATCCACCTGTGTCTCAACCTCCTCCTGGCGGAGCTCCTGTTCTCCGTAGGGATATCCCGCACTGGGAACAAGGTACAGAGTCACCCACCGGGTTTGCAGTCCCAATGGTTAGAACAAGCGACAGGAGCCGGGTTCGATTCCCGGGAGGGCCGGGTCAGGTCGGGGAGAAACCTCAGGCAAGTTTCCTTACGCCACACACGCGCACACACACAGACACACACACACACACACACCCACACACACAGACACACACGCATAGACACACACAATACACACACAGGCAGATAGACACCACACACCACACACACACACACACAGACACACACAAAAACACACACCACACACACAAACACACACACACATAGACACACACACGCGCGCGCGCCCTCTGTTTACTCAGCAGTCAGTCGGAACGCAATTGGCTGCCGCGTTTCGCCCACAAAATACAGTCACTCCACTCCACGGTATATCCTGCGAAGCGCTGTGAGACGTCCGAACGATGTGATAAGGCGCTGTATCAAATGCAAGGATTATTATTTCTTAATTGTGCGAAGGAAGGCCTTGGGGTGTCCTCCCGACGTGAATGGTCCTTTACAACTGTAAAATGGTGGTGGTGGTGGTGGTGGTGGTGGTGGTTGTTGTCGTCGTCGTTCCAAGTCCCGAAGTGGGGCTTGAACCCGCAACCTTCTGACTCCGAGGCGAGAGAGAGAGAGAGAGAGAGAGAGAGAGAGAGAGAGAGACTGAGTCGGGCCGATCCAATTCTGACGTTGAGTTTCGCCAACAAAACACACAGTCGCCACTCCTCTTCACAGTGTATTCCCACAAAGTGCTTTGCGACGTCTCGAGGACGCGATGAGACGCCGTATCAACTGCCAACGTTATTGTTATTATTACTATTATTATTATTATTAATATTATTATTAATCTTGCTGTGCTGACTGCTCTTGTTTCAGTTGGCCTGCGCTCTGATCGCTGGGTTTCTCCACTACTTCTTCCTGGCGGTGTTCGCCTGGATGCTGCTGGAGGGGGTGCAGCTGTACATCATGGTGGTCAAAGTCTTCAACGTCAATCTCCTGACCAAGAGGCACTTGCTGCCCGTGGGCTATGGGATGCCCCTGGTTATCGTAGGCATCTCGGCAGCTGTCTACGGCGAAGGATACGGAACCGAAAGATAGTGAGTGGGTTATTGGACCCCATAAAAACACCAATTTATCAACAGCACTGATAATCCTACGTCGATAATGCTCATTGCTGTTCTTTATTGGGCGTCCTCTGGCGACCTGCTAACCCCTTATCAACCTTGTCCACTCCGTCCACCCACTCAGCAGGTCCCGGCCTGCTCCACGTCCCTCGCCCGGCCCGCCCCACCATCGGCGATCGGGCCATCAGCCTCTGGACCTCCATCCCACATCCCCTTTGCCTCCTCTTCGACCGTGCCTTTGGCCACCCTCCTCTCCACTCTACCCTCCCTGATCCCAAACCCCCATTCCCCCCCACCCCCCCCACCCCCCACCTCCGCTCAGGTCCTAATCCCCAACTGTTCAGCATATTGGACATCCTCCTGACGTGAAAGGCGCTTTACAAATATAATCCTGTTGTTGTTGTTGTTGTTGTTCCGCTGCCGCTACGCTTGCAACCAAAGGATCCAACATGGATCGTGATACCACTCACGAACCACTTAACATGCCATAAACACTGCGTGCACACCTCAAGCAGAATATATCTGCGTGACGAGCTTCTTTAGGTCATAGCCCATCACCCACAGGAGATTCCCCCCCCAAAAAAAAATATGCCCATGGCACTCCCCTTGCAAGACCCCTTCCCACTGAGGTACAAATCATCAGTCGGTTCTTGTGTTGTTGGCGGACAGAGGCGCTCAGACAGACATTTCGTCTTTATTAGTATAAATAGTATATACTATTTATAGTATATACTTTTTATAGTATAGATTTGTGGAGTCCTGTAGCTCAGTGGTTAGAGCACTCGCTTTGCAAGTGAGAGACCTGAGTTCAATTCCAGGCAGAGGGCCAAACCTCGGGCAAGTTTCCTTACTCCACACAGAGCCTAATAATAATCCCTCCAAAAAACAAAAACAATAATAAATTGGTCATTTTCAATCCACGACTGTTTGTGGGACATTGCTGTGCGCAATCGGCCGCCGCGTTCGCCCACAAATATACAGTCAATTCACTTTACAGTGTGTTCCGTGAAGCGCTTCGGGACGTCCTCCCGACGTGAAAAGCGCTCTATCAAATGCAAGGAATATTATTATTATTATTATTATTATTATTAATAACAACGTGTAACATATTAGTGATATGTGAACGATAAGGATAATGTATCATTGGGGCTATTTCGGTTGGGAGGCCGTTCGGTTTGCGGGTGCTGTTCGGCGACGGTCAGCCGTCCAGACCGAAGGCACGGCCGCTCTGCATATGAATCCGTGACGTTTTTTTTTAAACCATCACTCATACGCTCGAGCTTCTTCCTAAGTCGGTTCCGCGCCGCGGGAGGAGGAGGGCTGACGGCATCCTGCTCGCCAGGTGCGTTGTCCGACCGCACCTGAGCGGTCTTGTTCGCTGTCCCAGTGGCGCCTGCGATTATGGGAAGTATGAAACAGAAACGGAAGTGCCTGCGGAGGCGCCGAGGTCGGGCGGCGCGTTCTCCTCTCCCTCCGGAGACGCTGTCTGACTCGCCGTGCGTTTCCAGCCACTTCTGTTTATTTCCGACTTGGGTGTGTTTTGTTGACCGTGGTATAACTGTCTCGGTTTTTACACCGCGTGCATTAATAGCGCGCGGGTTATTATTAGCGGCGGAGACCTGTCCGCTCAGTGGTTAGAGCCCTTGTCTCGCGAGCGAGTGAGCGAGTGAGCGAGCGAGACACCTGGGTTCGACTTCCCAGGCAGGTCAGGGCGAAACTTTGGGTAAGTTTCCTTAATACGCGCGCGCGCACACACACACACGCACACACACACACGCACACACACGCACAGACACACACGTACCACAGACACGCACAGACACACAAATGCAAGGATTATTATCATTATCATCAGTATTGTTATTATTATTATTATTATAGTATTTGGTGAATTTTTTCTGTAACCTATCGTTAAAAAGTCTTTTTTTTTCCCCCCCTTTTTTATCACCGTTTACCTTCTGGTTCCAGTTGTTGGTTGACGTTGAAGAAAGATTTCCTGTGGAGTTTCCTGGGGCCGGTGTGCGCAATCACGGTGGTAAGAATTGAGCAATAACGGTCTCGCGGGGGCCCGCCCCCACCCCCCTTCTCACACGCATGGACGCACACGCACACGCACGCGCACGCGGCGTCTGTCGGCGTGTCTCGGAAAGCACTGCCCGAAAGGGCGGTGGGAGCAGATTTGACGGTTGTTTTTTTCGGAAGGGAATTGGATAGGGACTCAAAAAAAGGAAGACTATGGGGGAAAGAGCTGGTGGGGTGGGGGGGGGGTGGGGGTGGGGGGGGTGTAGGGGGGTGGGGAGGAAACTGGTCGGTGGCTGACACAGGCACGAAGGGCTGAATGGCCTCCTTCTGTCCCTGTAGGATTCGACGTATGCGATCTCCAGCTTCGTACAATTCCTGGACAGGAGACAGAGTAAATCTCTCTCTCTCTCTCTCTCTCTCTCTCTCCAGACACTCCCGGGGTAGCTCCAGCAGAGTTTAGAGACCGAATAAAGCTCCCTCTACACTCCCAGGTCGGGGTTAGAGACACACAGTAACGCTCCCTCTACACTGTGCGGGTTAACACACAGTAAAGCTCCCTCTACACTCCACACTCCCAGGTCAGGGTTAGAGACACACAGTAACGCTCCCTCTACACTGTGCGTCCGCACTCGCAGGTCAGGGTTAGAGACACACAGTAACGCTCCCTCTACACTGTGCGTCCGCACTCCCAGGTCAGGGTTAGAGACACAGTAACGCTCCCTCTACACTGTGCGTCCACACTCCCAGGTCAGGGTTAGAGACACAGTAAAGCTCCTCAACACTGTGCGTCCACACTCCCAGGTCAGGGTTAGAGACACAGTAAAGGTCCCTCTACACTGTGCGTCCACACTCCCAGGTCAGGGTTAGAGACACACAGTAACGCTCCCTCTACACTGTGCGTCCGCACTCCCAGGTCGGGGTTAGAGACACACAGTAACGCTCCCTCTACACTGTGCGTCCGCACTCCCAGGTCAGGGTTAGAGACACAGTAACGCTCCCTCTACACTGTGCGTCCACACTCCCAGGTCAGGGTTAGAGACACAGTAAAGCTCCTCTACACTGTGCGTCCACACTCCCAGGTCAGGGTTAGAGACACAGTAAAGCTCCTCTACACTGTGCGTCCCACACTCCAGCGTCAGGGTTAGAGACACAGTAAACGGTCCCTCTACACTGTGCGTCCCACACTCCCAGGTCAGGGTTAGAGACACACAGTAACGCTCCCTCTACACTGTGCGTCCGCACCCCCAGGTCAGGGTTAGACACACAGTAACGCTCCCTCTACACTGTGCGTCCGCACCCCCAGGTCAGGGTTAGAGACAGAATAAAGCCCTCCGCTGTCTACCCAGTATTTACGAGTCGAATGTTCAGACACGTTTCCAACCACACAGCTGTGCAGTGAGCATCTGGCGAGGCTTTAAACCCACGACTTCTGACTCGAAAGCGAGAGAGAGAGAGAGAGAGAGAGAGAGAGAGAGAGCGCGCGGTTGAGAGTCGGAGCCGGATTGACACACTGACCCAATTGAACACGCATGCGATCTGTTTCCATCGCCTCTGCCTTCCTCTCTCTCTCTCTCTCTCTGTGTCTGCGAACTCACGGGAAGTAGGGCGTCCGCAGACCTCTCGGTCGGGGGCGTCTGAGGGACCCCGTGACCCCGTTCCGCCTCCGCTTTCCGCGACGGAAGTGCCCGCAGATCAATAACGGGGTCACATTTCCCGCCCTGGCTCGAGCCGTCGCCTCTCGCTCTCTCTCTCTCTCTCTCCTCTCTCGCTCTCTCTGCCCACCCACCCTCTGGATCTCCCATCGCGCAGTTCCCTCCGTCTCACTCACACCCCCTCCTTCCCTCCCTCTCTCCCCCTCTCCTCCTTCAGGAATGAGACCTCAAGCCTCACCCGCTCCCCCACCCCACCCCACCCACCCCCACCGTCAGCGCCCTGTTCGGGGCGGACGTTAAAAGATCTCCCTCAGCGCTGTCGGAAAAGAGAAGGAAGTTCCTCTCCCTCTCCCCCCCCCCCCATCCATCTCTCTCTCTCTCTCTCTCTCTCTATCACCCCCCCCCCCCCCCCCGCCCCCCACACGCAAGCGAACCGGCCCCACAAAAACCCGCGGTCACTGCGCTCGGCGGCCGACCCCCCCGCGGAGCGCTTCTCCCCTTCGGCGGCGCGACCGCGCGGGGAGTTAGAGTCGGCGGCGGCGGCGGCGGCGGCGACATCGACCGGAAGGGAAAAAAAAAAAAAACCATCGCCGGGTAATTGTCCTTCTCCGCTGATTCCAGGTTAACCTGATGTTTTATGCCGTGACCGTGTGCCAACTCGCGCGGAAGATGCCCAGCGTTCAGCGGGAGAAGCCCAAGCTCAAGAAACTCAGGTGAGTCGCACCCGTCTTGATCGCGGGGCTGACACCTTCGGGCAAATTCCCCGCGTTTATTGTTATTATTATTATTATTATTATTATTAATAATAGCCGTAGTAAGGAAACTTGCCCAATATTTCGACCTGACCCGCCCGGGAATCGAACCCGGGTCCTCTGGCGTGTGAGGCGAGGGCTTTAAACCCCTCCCCACCCCTACCCCCCCACCCCCGAGCTACGGGAACACCACAACTAGACATGATTAGTTATTAATAATAATAATATTAATGATAATAATCTTTGCCGTCGATCCAGCGCCTTCGAGCGATCACAGCCGATACCCCTCGAGCGAATTGACTTGAGTAGTGTGCGGGCGGAATAGCGTGTACACGCACACGCGCCCACGTGCACTCACACACACGCACACACTCACACGCACGCGCACACACATATGCACACACTCACACGCATGCACGCGCACACACATATGCACACACTCACACGCACGCACACGCACACACTCGTGCGCGCGCGCGCACTCACATGCGCGCACACACTCACACGCGCGCACACACACACATGCACGCGCACTCACACACGCGCGCGCGCACACACATGCACACACGCACACACACGCACACACTCACACACGCGCGCACGCACACTCACAAACGCACGCGCGCACACACGCACACACTCACACGCGCCCGCACGCACACTCACACGCGCGCGAGCACACACACAAACGCGCGCACACACACGCGCGCACACACACTCACACGCGCGCGAGCACACACTCCCACACGCGCGCGAGCACGCACTCCCACGCGCGCGCCCGCACGCGCGGCGTTACCGTTTGCTCATTGCCGCCGCCGTCAGGTTGTTTACGGTGACGGCCATCGCTCAGCTCTGCCTCCTCGGGTGCACGTGGATCCTCGGGATCTTCCACTTCCACAAAGACACCATTGCGATGGCGTACATCTTCACCGCGGTCAACAGCCTCCAGGGCGCGTTCATCTTCGTCCTGCACTGCCTCCTCAACAAACAGGTACCGCGGACCCTCTGTCCAGGGTTCGATTCCCGGGCGGGTCGGGGTGGGGTGGCGGGTGGGGGGGGGGGCGAAATATTGGTCAAGTTTCCTTACCGCACACGCACGCGCACACGCACGCACACGCACTCGCACGCGCGCACACGCACGCCTCTGTTTATTCAGCAGTCGGCTGTCGATCGGCCGATCGCTTTTCCGGGGGTTAATAATCCCCCCCCCACCCCCCAAAAAAAACAACGACGACGACAACAACTCGGCGGCTCGATCCGCGGGCCGTCGGCGAGGAAGTGGCCGGGGCCCCCCCCCCCCCCCCCCGGCGCTTGACGGCGCGTTCCCGCGAAGCGCTTTGCGGCGTCTGGAAGACACGCGAGAAGGCGCCGGGTCAAATGCGAGGGATGATGATGATGATGATGATGATTATTATTATATATATACATATATATATGCGATTATATTATATATATATACATATATATATGAGGGGAATCCGTGAATTGATCGCGAATTCATTTTGCCGTTGGGACAGATACGTGAGGAATATCGCAAGTGGTGCCTTACGGTGTGCGGAGCGCGAGGGGCGCGTTCGGAAGCCACGACCAGTTTCATGCCCCTGTTTTCTCTGCAGGTGAGAGCCCTCCGTAACGTTGACGAGCCGCGCGTTTCCTGCCGGTCTCTCTGACCTCCGCCCGCGGCGCAGGGCGCAGACCCTCTCGGGTGGGGCGGGAGGGGAGGAGGGGGGGGGGGGGTGGGTGGGGTGGGGGGGGGAGGTGTTGGCGGGGCTGATAACTGATAAATGAATAAAGTTGCTCGCTCGCTCACTCCGCGGCCGTTCGAGACGTCTCGGAGGCGCGCGGGGATTATTATCACGATGATCACCTTCGAATCTCTCCCTTCGATCCCCCCCCCACCCACCCCACCCCCTCCCCACTCCCCGCCAGGAGAAGAGCAGCTTCTCGACAGTTCCCGGATTTTGAGAGGGCGACGGAAGACGAACTGAGGACCAGGTCGGACCGTGTCGAATCTCCGCCGGGACCCGGCGCCCGGTGCTTCTGCGCTGCGGTCTCGTTTCGGCCCTCGAAGCGCACAACCCGATCGCACAGGTCGCACAGGTTTGCGTAGCGGTCAACCGATTGCGTGAGGGACGAGGACAAACCCTGATTGATGTCCCTACTGTGAATCCCCTCCGGGTCAATCTCCCTTCGGGACGATTCCCCGAATAATAATGCGAAGAATATTCCCTCCTCCGCCCTCGGACCCGTCGGAACGTCCTCCTGACGTGAACGGCGTTGCGTGAGTGCAGACGTGCATCGCATTCACTGTGTATTGTATTTACTGAGAGAGTTTACCAGTACTCTGTACTGATTCTGTACTATTTTCTGCCGCAAACGTGTTGTATCGATCTATTTTATTCTTATTAAAACCTGAACAATAATTCCTTGCCCCGACATTACCGACTACCACTTGAAGGGACGTTGTATAATTAAATGCAAGTTGTTGTTGTAGTATAAAAACCCTCGCACTTCACGTCATATAATAAGTTATAACTACGCATTTCGCCCACAAAACACACAGTCACTGCACTCTCCGGTGTATCCTGTGAAGCGCTTTGAGACGTCTCGACAACGTGATGAGGCTTTTGGGTCCGAATGAGCGGATTATTGTGTCATCCAACGCGACCCTTTAATAATGTAACCGTTCTTGCGTCTGACCCGGCGCCCCATCGCCTCTCGGGGACGTCTCAAAGCGCTTCGCAGGATACGCCGCAGAGCGTAGTGACTGTGTACTTTGTGGGCGAAACGCGGCAGGAGTCGGGAGAGAGAGAGGGAGAGAGAGAGAGAGAGAGAGTGACACAGACTTGGTAGATCAGTTTTGGTGGTTGGGTGCATGAGGAGGGGGAGGACAAGAGGGGGGTACGGGGAGCGGTGGGGGGGTGCGGGGGCGGGAAGGGGGGGGTGGTGGGGGGGGGGAGGGAAAGTAACACACGTTCAGTTTAACCTCAACCGCAGGTTTGAGTGGGGGAGAGAGAGGGGACGTCAGTTGTTCTGCCGTTTAGGGGTTCCTTTTGTTTCAGTTGATAATAATTATCGTTGCATTGCGATTCGGCGCCTGATCCCGTCCTCGAGTGCGTCTCAAGGCGCTTCAGGGGAGCCGCTGTAAAAGTGTAGTGACTGTGTGTTTTGCGGGTGCACGTTCCGACGGTTGAGGGGCTGATCTGATAATAATGTTGGGAATAATAAAGGGATTGACAGCTATAGAGGAACTGTTGCCTCTGGTGGGGGAGTCGGGGTGGGGGGAGAATCGTCTGTTTTAGGCTGTTTTAGGAGTGAAATCGGGGGCATTTTTTCACCCCCAAAGGCTGGTGGAAATCTGGACCTCCCCCCCCTCCCTCCCTCCCTCCCTCCCTCCGCGCCCCCCCCCCCAAAACGCTGTGGATTACGTTGGGATCCATTCACATCTTCGAGACCGAGTAGGGACCGATGTTTGTGAGGTCCGGGGGTGGGGGGCGGTCAAGGGATATGGGGCAAAAAGCGGGCAATTGGGGGTCGAGGCGCAGATCAGCCGTGATCTTCTCGAATGGCGGAACAGGCTCGGGGGGGCTGAAAGGTCTCCTCCTGTTCCTACGTTCCCTATTATGTTAGAGGTTTCCTGTTCCGTTGCATCGTCTGCCAACCCAATAACCACACGAACAGGTGTGAGGTTCTTTCCAAACCGTTGTCGCGCACAACAGGCGACACAGAAAGCCGGATAAATAACTGAGGCGCTGGGGAGAGAGAGAGCGCGAGAGCGAGAGAGAGCGAGGGCGAGGGAGAGCGAGAGAGAACGAGAGCGAGAGAGAGCGAGAGAGAACGAGAGAGAGCGAGAGAGAACTAGAGCGAGAGAGAGCGAGAGAGAACGAGAGAGAGCGAGAGAGAACGAGAGCGAGAGAGAGCGAGAGAGAACGAGAGAGAGCGAGAGAGAGCGAGAGAGAGCGAGAGAGAACGAGAGCAAGAGCGAGCGAGCGAGAGAGAGCGAGAGAGAACGAGAGCGAGAGAGAACGAGAACGAGAGAGAGCGAGAGAGAACGAGAGCGAGAGAGAACGAACGAGAGCGAGAGAGAACGAGAGCGAGAGTGAGAGAGAACGAGAGAGAACGAGCAAGAGCGAGAGAGAACGAGAGCGAGAGCGAGAGAGAACGAGAGAGAACGAGAGAGAGAGAGAGCGAGAGAGAGCGAGAGAGAACGAGAGTGAGAGAGAACGAGAGAGAACGAGAGAGAGCGAGAGCGAGAGAACGAGAGAGAGAACGAGAGCGAGAGAGAACGAGAGAGAGCGAGAGAGAGAGCGAGAGAGAGCGAGAGAGAGAGCGAGAGAGACCCTGTATTGCTTTCCAGAATTATTTCAGACGACCGTCCCGTAGTTCAGCGGTTGTTTGGCCAACCGGAGGACCCGGGTTCGATCCCCGGGCGAGTCAGGGAGTAAACCGCTGAGCGAGTGCACTCCACACACGCAGACACACACGCGGACACACACACACGTACACGCACACACACACAGACACGCACACGCACACAGACGCACACGCCTCCGCTTGACCGCCAGTCAGTAGGAACGAACCCGGTTGTTCGTCGAACGGCCCCGACCGCTTTTCCCGGTGGTGACGACCCCTCCAAAAAAAAAGAATATAAATAAATCCCTTCAACCCACGGCCGTTTGTGTGTGTGTGTGTGTGTGGGTGTGTGTGTGGGGGGGGGGTGACGTCGCCGGCGGGCGCGGGCGCGGGCGGATCGGCTGCCGCCTTTCGCCCGCGAGATACCCGGTCGATCCGCTTTGCGGGGGTGGGGGGGTGGGGGGGGGTGCCCGGCGCTAAGCTCTCCGGGGCGTCGCGGAGACGCGGTGAGGCGCTGGATTCAAAGGCGAGGGTCGGGGCGGCGGTTGTCACTTTGAACGGCAGCGACGCGGGCGAGAGGCGCTGCCGGCGGCAGAGAGAGAGAGAGAGAGAGAGAGGGCGCGGGCGCGGGCACGAGATAAGGAGGCGTTTCAAGGTCTCAGGGAATCAGCGGAGATAACGTCGCCTTCGCTGAAATCAAAGGGGCTTTGTCTGCATCTCGTGAGGTGAAAGTCTATCTGCGTAACCGCCCGTCACCCGCCGCCGCCGCCAGCAGTCTCCGTGGAGACGGGAGGAGAGCAATAAAGATAAGATGGAGAGCGTGACTGCGCCGATAAGCTTCGGGTTTCCAAGCCGGCGCCTTATCGCGTTCCCCCCCAAACACCCCCTCCGCGAGAATTAAAACCGTTAAGTAATAACTCCTGCACCCGAAATAGCACCGAAACGCCGCGTCGCTGAGACACCTCGAAGGCCGTGTGTCGCGTGGGCAGAGGTTTAAGCGTAAAAGTGTAGTGACTGGGCGTTCTGTGGGCAGGTGCGGCGGCTTTCGGTTATCTTTTCCCTCGCGCCGCAGCGGCTGGGTGTGTTTGCGGGGGCGAAAGGCGGCGGGACGGTTTACGCACACAGCGACGTCCCACGAACAGCCGTGGAGTGAGCGACCGGTTTTATCTGAGGGGCTGTTAGCCGGGAAACCAGTGAGAGAGAGAGAGAGAGAGAGAGTGAGAGAGAGAGAGATAGAGAGAGAGAGAGAGAGAGAGAGATAGAGAGAGAGAGCGAGAGAGAGAGAGATAGAGAGATAGAGAGAGATAGAGATAGAGAAAGATAGAGAGAGCGAGAGAGAGAGATAGAGAGAGAGAGAGAGAGAGAGAGAGCGAGAGATAGAGATAGAGAGAGAGAGAGAGAGAGAGAGAGAGAGAGATAGAGAGAGATAGAGATAGAGAGATAGAGAGAGAGAGCGAGAGATAGAGATAGAGAGAGATAGAGAGAGAGCGAGAAAGACTCCCTTCACTTCTCCGGCAGCGCTGTGGGAGATTTTTAATGTCCGCCCGAACAGGGCGCAGACGGGGAGCGAGTGAGGTTTAAGGTCTCACCCGAAGGACGGCGTCTCCGACAACGCAACACCCCCCCCCCCCCACCCCCCCACCCCCCCCCACCCTCCCCCACCCCACCCCCCCACCACCCCCAGCGCTGCCCTCAGCTTAGACCGTGAGATGCCAAGTCCTGACTTGTTGTTGGGTTTGAACCCACAACCTTCTGACTCAGAAACGAGAGAGAGAGAGAGACACTGAGCCAGACTGACACACACACACACGCGCACACACTCACACACACACGCACCCACACACACACACACACACAGCGACTGAGCCAGACTGACACACACACAAACACGCACGCACACACGCACTCACACACACACACACTCACACACACACACACGCACACACACACACACACACACAGCGACTGAGCCAGGCTGACACACACACACGCGCACACACTCACACACACACACACGCACACACGCACACACGCACACACTCACACACACACACACACACACAGCGACTGAGCCGGGCTGACACACACACATGCACACACACACGCGCGCACACACACGCGCACACTCACACACGCACACGCACACGCACACACAGCGACTGAGCCAGGCTGACACACACACATGCACACACACGCGCGCGCACACACACACGCGCGCACACACTCACACACACACACGCATGCACACACGCACACACACACTCACGCACGCACACGCACACGCGCGCACAGCGACTGAGCCGGGCCGACAGAGAAGCCATACGTTTAAAAAAGTAAAGTCTTAAGGAGCGTTGAGAGCTGTGTGTGTGAGTTCAGTTCTCACTGAGGAACACTCTCACCCGGAGAGGTTTATTGAGGTTTAATCCCGTTTGAAGTTCTCAGATGTTTCGAGGAGATACGATAAGACGAGGAGTTTACAAACTGCTGTACAGTTTCTGGTAACAGCTGTCGGCATTGGCTCAGTCACTCCCCCTCTCGATTCTGAGTGAGGGGGTTGTGGGTTCGAACCCCCAGTCATAAGGCTGAGTGACGCTGTGCCCTAACCCTGGGGAGAGAGAGAGAGAGAGAGAGAGAGAGAGACCGCTGCGTGTCGGGAGTTTGCTTCCCGCAGATCAGCTGCGCTGTTCAACAACGGCCGTTGCATTTCGCCCACAAACTGTACAGTCACTACGCTTTACGGCGTGTCCCGTCAAGCGCTTCGAGACGTCTCGAAGACGTGCGAATGCCCTGCGTCAAACGCCACGAATATTACGAGCAGTCGTAGCATTGCTATTGCGATTATAATAATAATAATAATAATAATAATTATTATTACCAGTATAATAACTGCCCACTAGGTGTCAATACAAGTTAAGGGGAAGTGATCTTTCAAGACAGTAACAAATAGTGGCCGATAGTGGTCAGTTGGGATGAAGATGGTCCTTTGGTCCATCTGATGTCAGTCCGTCGGGAACCTCTGCCCATCATCGGCCCATCGCAGCCTCGAGCTGCTCCGTAAATCACTCGCGGAACTCGGACCTGCCCCAAAACAACAGACGAAGACATGGGGTTGATCGGGGCTGTGGGGAGAGAGAGGGGGGAGTGGGGTTGATCGGGGCTGTGGGGAGAGCGCGGGGGGAGTGGGGTTGATCGGGGCTGTGGGGAGAGCGCGGGGGGAGTGGGGTTGATCGGGGCTATGGGGAGAGAGAGGGAGGAGTGGGGTTGATCGGGGCTATGGGGAGAGAGAGGGGGGAGTGGGGTTGATCGGGGCTATGGGGAGAGAGAGGGGGGAGTGGGGTTGATCGGGGCTGTGGGGAGAGCGCGGGGGGAGTGGGGTTGATCGGGGCTGTGGGGAGAGAGAGGGGGGAGTGGGGTTGATCGGGGCTGTGGGGAGAGAGAGGGGGGAGTGGGGTTGATCGGGGCTGTGGGGAGAACCAGGGTCGAATGGCCTCCTTCTGTGCTGTATAATTCTTGGATTCGATGTAGATCTCAAGACACTTCTCTTCGTCCGCGCCTTCGGTCACCTTCCTTTCCCCCCCCCTCACCCCCAACCCCACCCACCCTCACCCCCAACCCCACCCACCCTCTGCCCCCCCCCCCTCCCCCCGGCTCGGCCCCGGGATCCGTTACCGGCGTTGTTGTTCTCAAACAAAATTTGACCTAATTAGTACCGTAATTAGTGCCGTAATTAGTAGTTCATCTCACACACACACACACGCACACACACACGCACACACACACACACACTCACACACACACGCACACACACTCCCACGCACACACACACACACTCTCACGCACACACACACACTCCCACGCGTGCACACACTCTCACGCACACACACACTCCCACGCGTGCACACACTCTCACACACACACACACTCCCACGCGCACACACTCCCACGCACACACACACACACACGCACCAACAAAATAAATCTCCCCGACCACTTCCTCAGCAGTTGATGGTATCTACCTGTACGACACTGAGCGATTTACCTTAACGTTCCTTATCTTACTCATCAGTTTCTCTCTCTCTCTCTCTCTCTCTCTCGCTCTCTCTCTCTCTCTCTATCTCTCTCTCTCTCTGCGGTTTCCTCTTTGCATGAAAAGCCTCTTTTTTTTTTTATTAACCTCTTCTCCATCGGAAAAGAGTAGTGAAGCCGCTCGTTCTACAAAGCCAATCTCGGCCCCAATCCATTTGATGAGGGGCCAAGAAACTGTGACGGATGTTTCACCTCTCTCTCTCTTTCTCTCTCTCTCTCTCTCTCGCTCTCTCTCTCTCGCTCTCTCTCTCTCTTTTCCTCTCTTTATCTTTATCCCCTGTGATTGCTCTCACTTGCGAGTTCGATGCAGTGATTCACAACGAAGCCCACGCGATAGAGAAGGGGTAATAATAATAATAATAATAATAATAATTATAATTATAATAATAATAATCCTTGCAACAAGGACAGACGTGGCCGGGAACAAGCCCTCAGCAGGTCAGGCAGCATCTATAGAGAGAGAGAGAGAGAGAGCTAAAATGCGAGGGGTTTCCGCCACGAGAAATCCAGTCGCTTCGCTCTCCGCGGCTGTGGGTGGGACTCCGCTGTCGGCAAATTGGCCGCCCGTCAGACTGGCAGTCACTACGCTTGACAGCCCAGTCCCGTGAAGCGGTTCGAGACGTCTCGAAGACGTGATGAGGGGTTATATCGGACGCAAAGATCGTTATTAATGTGCTCAACGCAAGTTCCCAGGTTCAAATCCACCCCCCCACCCCCCACCTCCCCTTCCCCCCACCTCCCCTCCCCCTCCCCTCCCCTCCCCAGCTCAGCCATGATGATGATGATGGGGGGGGCGGGGGGGGGGGCTCAAACCCACAATCTTCCGACTCGGAAGTGACCGACTGACTGAGCCGGGCTGACACGCTCCAGAGGGAAGGGGTTGGGTGGGGGGCTCGGGGGGGGTGGGGTGTGGTGGTGGTGGTGGTGGGTGTGGGGGCGCGGGTGGGGGGTTGGAACAGCTCGGCCGTCGATATCGCCCCCCCGGCCGAGCTTTCCCGCTGCTCGTCCAGCGAGGACCACCCGCCCCGTTGGGGGGGCTTTGGCTCGCAGGATTAACGGGGGGGGGGGATACGGGGGGGGGGGGCAGGGGATACGACTTCCCCATCGCAAAGATGGCCAACCTCGAAAGATGGCGTCGTTCTCGTCCACCCGAACGGGGAACGTCCGGGGTTTAACGGCCCATCCAACGGTGGGAAGGGCGAGAAGATCTTTTAACTCTCTTTTATTTCATGAACCGGATCGCGTGCGGGTTTGTCTTTTCCATCGTTCCTCTTTCTTTTTTTTTGCTTCCTTTTTATTTGGTTGGGCGCGGGGGTGGGGGGTGGGGGTGGGTGTGGGGGGTGGGGAGAGGGGGGGGTGTTTGCGCTTTGGATCATCGTCTCGTGAATGCGTTCCCACGAAACTGAGAGGATCGTGGGAAAGTTTGCTCGCAGAAACAGCGAGGGGGGGGGGGGGGGCAGCGAGAGCGAGAGAGAGAGAGAGAGAGAGGCACGAGACAAAAAGAGAGAGAGAGCGCGCGGAGAGTTGGCAGAGATTAGTCTGGCGAGAGTTTCATTGACTTAATCCCACCGCGTGCGGGTGGTGGGGGCGCGGGAGGGGGTGGGGGTTGCGGGGGAGTGGTGGGGGAGTGGGGGGGGGGGGGGTTTAAGGTAAGGCAGATAGTAAAAGTTTTTATTTGTTTCCTGGAAACAGAAAGAGCTTTAACTCGACTCGTGTTCCCGCTTTGACATCGTCTGACATCCGACCGCTGACTCTCAGTCTGCGTCGCTCATATTGAGAATTTCCTTCCCCTTTTTCGTTCCGAATGTGAAACCGAAAAGATTGTGTGAAATTACGACAACCGTAACCACAGAACAACTTGGGTTTATGCAGTGCCCCCCCCCTGTACCCCCCCCAACCCAACCCAACGGCCGGGCACACACACACACACGCGCGCGATAACCCGTCACCGTGACCGGCCGGGCGTCTGACACACACACACATGTGCGGAAACCCGTCACCGAGACCGGCCGGGCGTCTGACACACACACACACACACACACCCCCCCCCCCCCCCGCACACACCACACACACGCGCGCGATAACCCGTCACCGTGACCGGCGCGACCCCCCCCCCGCCGTCCGGACCGGCCGGCGTCTGACACACACACAACACCAAGAAAACTGGAGATGTCTGACCCGCCACCGCCCGCCCTCCCTACGAGCTCAAACCCCCCCCCACCACCAAGGTGAAGGCAATTTCAAGACAGAAACCAGGAAGTACACCCTTATCCAGGAGGGACTTAACAGGAGGAACAGGAAGCGGGGTGGAGGGTGTTTTGAGGCCAGGACACTAGGACTCAATTAAAGAGTAGCTCGATGCTGTGACGGGGGGATGGTGGGGGTCTGGCGGGCGGGAGGGTGTTGCGGAGATGTTGTGGCACCCGATGGGCCAAAGGGACTTCTTCGTAACAACAACCTGTGTCCTTCCTCCTCCAGACTGCAGATCCCAATGTAAAAGGTTTAAGGTGAGCTTTCGCTGCAAACCTTTCTTATTCAACACGAGAGCATCATTGCCTCACGTCCACACGCGTGCGCTCAGAAACACGGGCGAGCACACACACGCGCACACGCGTGAATACACACGCGCGCGAACTAACGCCTGATATAACGCGTCGTTAGCGTGTCTGACCTTTCTCTCCCTCCCTCTCTCTCTCTCGCTCTCGCTCTCTCTCCCTCCAGCCGTGTTTCTCCAGGTGTTACATAAACCAGCCGCTCGATAAGCTCCGGGCGAAGGCGGACACGGGTGGGCCGCACCTGCGAGAGAAGGCCTCCCATTTCCTTTGGTCCGTGGACGGAGTTTTGGAGAGGGCGGCGGAATCGCTGCCCGACCAGAACAAGTCGCACGCCTCGACGGAGAATTTCGGTAAAGATTAGTGATGATCGTAACGGTCGCGCCCGTTGCATTTCGACGCGGCGCCTTATCACGTCGAGTGGAGTGACTGTGCGTTTTGGGGGCAGCCAATCGCTCCCGCTGACGGCCCCACAAACGGCCGTGGGTGGAAGTGACCGAATATTATTGATTGATTGATTGATTTGCTCATTTAATTTGGGAGCGGTTATGAACCACCGGGAAAATGATCCGTCGATCGACTGACAACCGGGTTCCTGCTCACTGCTGGGGGAACAGGCGTGTGCGTGTGTGTCTCTGTGTGTGTGTGTTTCTGTGTGTGTGTGTCTGTGTCTCTGTGTGTGTGTCTGTGTCTCTGTGTGTGTGTCTCTTGTGTGTCTGTCTGTGTGTGTGTATGTGTGTGTCTGTGTGTGTGTGTATGTGTGTGTCTCTCTGTGTGTGTGTCTCTGTGTGTGTGTGTGTGTCTCTGTGTGTGTGTGCGTGTCTGTGTGTGTGTGTGTCCGTGTGTGTCTCTGTGTGTGTGTGTGCGTGTGTGTCTCTGTGTGTGTGTCTGTGTGTGTGTGTCTGTGTGTGTCTCTGTGTGTGTGTGTCTGTGTGTGTCTCTGTGTGTGTCTGTGTGTCTCTCTGTGTGTGTGTGTCTGTGTGTGTGTGTGTGTGTCTGTGTGTCTGTCTCTGTGTGTGTCTGTGTGTGTGTGTCTCTGTGTGTGTGTGTCTGTCTGTGGGTGTGTATGTGTGTGTGTCTCTGTGTGTGTCTGTGTGTGTGTGTCTGTGTGTGTGTCTGTCTGTGTGTGTGTGTCTGTGTGTGTGTCTGTCTCTGTGTGTGTTGTGTGTGTCTCTGTGTGTGTGTGTCTGTGTGTGTGTCTCTGTGTGTGTCTGTGTGTGTCTCTGTGTGTGTATGTGTGTGTCTCTGTGTGTGTGTGTCTGTGGAGTGAGGAAAGTTGTCAGCCTGATCCGGTCGGGATTCGAACCCGGGTCCTCTCGCCCGCGAGGCGAGGGCTCTAACCACTGAGCCACGGGGACTCGCACATGAAGGAAAATCCTCAAGACTTACGCGATTGCGCGGGAAGAAGGCAAAATAAACCAGGACATGATTAATATTATTATTATCATTATTATTACTATTGTTGTCGTGACTTGTGCTCAATCCTAGATTTGGAAATGCAACGAAAGAACTTGACTGCGAGACAGCAAACGATATCGCTGAACGTTTCGGGCAATTCGATGGAGGTCAACGTACCGGCGCTCACAGGAGAACGCGGTGAGTGTCGGCCCCTGATTCCCTCTCCGAAAAATTCCTCTCGCGCCTTGGGAACGCCCTCGGAACAGACGTCGTACGCTCGTACGTCGCGAAGTGCTTCTACCCTCGACGCGGAGTGACTGCGGGTCTTGTCGTCCCACGTGGCAACCGATTTGCTCTCCCGAACAGCCATTTAATAAGAAGAATAATCATATCAATCCTTATTTCTTTTTAATGCAGCGCCTTATCAGGTGGCTGAGACCTTCTCAAAGCGCTTCACGGGACGCACGCTGCAGAGCGAAGTAACTGTGTGTGTGTGTGTGTGTGTGTTTCGTGGGCAAGAGATTCTTGCGGTGACGCTGCCGTTGTTTTAAGTGCTGTTATTTTCCGGGAACAGGCGGGAGCTGCGTAGCTGCGGCTTTCCTGGTCTATAAAAACCTGGAGTTAATTCTGGACCAAAGCCTCGACGGGGCGGAGGAGAATGAAACCGGCTCTAGAGACGGCAGATTGCAACTGAACACCAAAGTGGTTACGGCCGTCGTGCAGCGTCCCTCAACCCCGAACGCCAGCCTTCACGTCATTTTCACCTTCAGGCATTTAGAGGTTCGTATTCGCGGAGTCCCGTGGGGTAGGGGAGGGGGGGGGGGTTAGCGAGAGGGCCCGGGTTCGATTCCCGGTCTGGGCGTAACCCCCGTCAAGTTTCCTCGCTCCGACCCGCGGCTCTGTTTACCCGGCGGTGAAGTGGGAACCCGGGTTGTTAGTCGATTGGGGGCCGATCGCTTTTCCGAAGGGGGTCATTGTGCCTTTGCCGCTCAATCCGCGACCGTTTGCGGGACGTCGCTGGGGCGCAATTCGGCTGCCGTGCTTGGCCCACAACGCGCAGTCACTACACTCTACAGAATCACCCGTGAAGTGCAATGCCAGGAATCGAACAAACTGTACTTTAACAATAATAATAATAATAATAATTAAACCAGACTTGAAAAATAAGGCGCTGGAGAGAATCCGGAGATACGTCAACCTACAAATGGACCGGGTTGGGCCGTGCGGCGCTTCGAGATGTCTCTACGCGGTGATAAGGTGCTATATTTCAAGTAAAAAGGGTCGTTATTATTGTCGCGGTGGTTTAAGGGTCTCCTTGTCTTTCCCTCGCAGACAAATAAGGTTCTGTTGAACGTGACGTGTGTGTACTGGGAGAGTAAGCTGCCGGGTTGGTCTCCAGAGGGGTGTGAGCTGATGGGGTTCAACGCCACCCACACCCGGTGTAACTGCACACACCTCTCGAGCTTCGCAGTGCTGATGGCGCTGCGGGTAAGACATAATGGTCCTTGCAACCACAAAACAGGGGGTGGGGGGGTGGAGGGTATGGATGAGCGGGCGGGGAAGGGGGGTAGGAGGGTATGGGGTGGTGGTGGAGGCGGGGGGTAGGAAGGCACGGTTGGTCGAAGAGGAGGGGTCTTGAGATGGGCCTTGAAGGAGGCGAGGGATGGGGTAGAGGGAGGGGGAAGAGGGAGGGGGTAGAGGGAGGTGGTAGAGGGAGGGAGCGAGGGAAGGGGGCGAGGGAGGGGGGCGAGGGATGGGGTAGAGGGAGGGGGGCAAGGGATGGGGTAGAGGGAGGGGGGCAAGGAAAGGGGCAAGGAAGGGGGTCGAGAGAGGCGGAGGGACCGCGGGACGGAGATCTTCTGACCGGACGAGAGCGCGAGCGGCCGAGCCGGGCTGACACACTTCCTCATGGACATTTGTGCACTCTCTCTCTCTCTCCCTCTCTCTCTCTCCCTCCCTCTCGACCCCCTCTCTCTCTCGTTCGCGCTCGCTCTCTCTCTCTCTCTCTCTCTCTCCCCCCCCCCCCAAACCCACCCCCAGGATCTGCCCGACGTGTTCGCACTGAGGGTCATTACATACGTGGGGTTGGGCGTGTCGACGGCGTGCCTGCTCATGGCCTTTACCGTGTTCGCCTGGTGCTCTCCGCGGCCGGCCTCCGCCATCCCCAACCGCGCCACCCGGAACACCATGCACAAGCACCTCTGCGCCACGCTGCTCGCCGGGAACCTCGTCTTCCTGGTCGGAATTTCGCAGACCGGAATCCGGGTGAGAAAACCGACGCGAGTCCCCTCCGTCGCTCCTCGGGTCGGTCGGGTTTGGGGGGGCGGGGGGGGGAGGGGGGTGTCTGGGGATCGCTTTTTCCAGGGGGTAACAGACCTAACTTGGTCCTCTCTCAACCCGCCCGCCCGCAAAACGTACGCAGGCACGCGCGCAAGCACACGCACGCGCAGGCACGCACGCACACACGTGCACGTACACTCACGCGCGCACACACGTACGCTCACACGCCCGCACACACACACACACACATGCAGGCACGCACGCTCACACATACGCGCGCATGCACACACACACACACACGCGCACGTACACTCACGCGCACACACGCGTACACTCACACGCCCGCACGCACACACACACACACACATGCAGGCACGCACACACACGCGCGCGCGCGCACACACACGTACACTCACGCGCACGCACACACGCACACACACGCACCCACAGAACAGGCAGTCGATTCACTCGACGGCGCATCCTGCGAAGCGCTTTGAGACGTCTCGAGGACGTGACGAGGCGCCGGGTGAGCTGCGAGGGTTATTATTGCGATTACTATTCCTAACTCGTTCGCGCTCTTGGCCCCAGGTGGTGTGTGGGTTAATTGCCGGAGTCCTGCACTACACCTTCCTCGCAGCCTTCTCCTGGATGTTGCTGGAAGCCGTTGAGCTGTACTGTATGATGGAGATAGTTTTCCCGACCAACCTGAACAGATATATTTATTGGGTGGGATACGGACTCCCGGCTCTGGTCGTCGTCGTTTCTGTCTTGTCTAATCCTCAGGGATATGGTACCTCCAGCCAGTGAGTACAGCGGCTCTGATTAATAATACTATAATAATATAATGACAATAATATAATAATACAACAGCACCGTGTCTTAATCATATAATAATATAATAACAATAATATAATAATAATGATGTAACAACAGCGCTGTGTCTTTATAATGATCTATAATAATCGTAATAATACAACAACAGCGCTGTCTTAATAATAATATGATAGTATAATAATAGTAGTAATAATACAACAGCGCTGTCTTAATAATAATATAATAACAATATAATAATAGTAATAATAATACAACAGCGCTGTCTTAATAATAATATAAAAATAATATAATAATAGTAATAATAATACAACAGCGCTGTCTTAATAATAATATAATAATAGTAATAATACAACAGCGCTGTCTTAATAATAATATAATAATATAATGATAGTAATAATACAACAGTACCTTCCTACACACCGCCCCTCCACCCCACCCCCACCGCATTTCGCCCCGCCAGACGCGAAACAGTCACTACGCGTGACGCGCCTTCGAGGCGTCTCGAGGGGGAGCGTCACCGACTTGACCGAAAAGAGGGGACGAGGGCAACGGGCTCGACCCGGGTCCTTATCGGAAAGGACGAGCGAGAATTGACGAGGGTCTTGTTTTGCTTGTGTTTCAGCTGTTGGTTGAGTACGGAGCGGTATTTCACCCTCAGTTTTTTCGTCCCCGTGGGATTAATTGTCGTGGTAAGATTTGTGCCGTATTATTATCTAATACTCCCCCATAAAGCGATCAGTATCTTCTGTAAAGATGTGGAACCCTCCCCCTCAATCCCTTTGCCTTCCCCCCATTCTCCCTCTCCCTCTCCCTCTCTCTCTCTCTCTCACACTCTCTCGCTCTCTCTCTCTCCCCCCATTTTCAGGTGGCGCTTAAAGACCTTCTTCTTCGACCGGTGCCTTCGGTCACCTCACCCACACACCCCCCCCCCCACACACACCCCCATCTCCGCCCGGCTCAGCGTCGAGCTCCGCCATTGTTAAGCGCTCCAAGACACAGTGGAGAGAGAGAGAGAGAGAGAGAAAGAGGGGAGAGAGAGAGAGAGAGAAAGAGTCCCTTCTCTTTTCCCGACAACGTCCACCTAAACAGGGCGCAGACGCGGGGTGAGGGGGAACGAGGCTTAACGTCTCATCCCCAGGATTACTCTGGATATCTCACAGACATATAAAGTCAACTGCAAGGAATATTTGTGGGCAAAAGACACACATATCCCACCTTCCCGTGGGAATCCCAGAGATAGAGTGCTGGATGGAATCCTGCTATCTCTCTCTCTCTTCTCTCTCTCCCCCACCTCATCCCCCCATCCCTCGCTCTCTCTCCCTCTCCCTCTCTCTATCTCCCCCTTTCTTTCTCACTCTCTCTCTCTATCTCTCTCTCACACACACCCCCTCTCGCGCTCTCACTCCCTCTCGTTATATATCTCAATATCTCTCTCCACACACTCCACACCCACCCACCTCCGCCCGGAAATCCCAGAGGCAGATTA